TCCTCCTTAATGGGAAGGAAATGAAATATGTCTGATATCATCAGCAACAGATTCTCCAGATCAGAAGTTACTGCAGATTTTAACAGCCTAGTTGTTGGCTTAATTGTGGAAGGTGCGATCAGTCTAAATAGGAACAGTTTTAGTGGCCTTATTTCTACTGAAGCAGGCTCTGTCTAAGTTTTGTCTAAATACCACTGCCCTGATAATAAGATGTTTCCATGGGGATAAAAAGGGACATTAAATTTGCTTGTTTATGGGACATTTCTTAAGAGACTCTTATCTCTGCACCACGTTTTACCAGGCTGGGATGCTGTTGCTGAGTATGAATCCTGGGATTGGTGCTCCTCTTCTTCTCATTGTACTCACAGGCTGCCAGTGTGAATCTAGGTGGTTATCAAAGAGAGAATCAAGTTCACTATGGATAAGAGCATTTGGGGGCACCAGAACAGAATGTGGTTTGATCTTTCTGGGCTGATGAAACCAATGTGTGTGGAGCTGCAGCCCTGATTCCTTCAAGTTAGCATATCCACTCACCCTGCTCTCTGTAGCTTCTGAATCAGCAGGCTTCCCAAATAGGGTGGCCACGTTTTCAAAATGGAAAGGTGGGACACATGCCCACCTCCCCAGCCCCTCCTTTTCCCCCCCAGCAGGCCGGAGTAGAGCCCAGAGGAGTCAGTGTCAGGGAAAGATGCAGGCTGCCTGCTGCAGGCTCAGGGCTCTCCACTCTTCTGCCCTCCCCCTGGGTAACCACAGGCCATATCACCATGATAAGGCACTCCCTGCCCACCTGGCAGCAGTGGGGACACAACTGCCAGGTAGGCAGGGGACATCTTGCCATGGTGGTGCAGCTGGTACAGGGTTTCTGGCAGCCCCAGGGGAGGGCAGCAGGGCAGGGAGCCTGTGTCCTCCCCGACCCTGTGCACAAATCTGTGGGGCATGTGCCCTCCCATGCCTCCCTCCCTGGGAGTGCACACAGTGGCAGGGAGCTGCTCCACCCAACCACCTCCCAGATGAGCCACCCATGGCTCCATCCTCCCGGGCCCCGGGCCCCATGCACCCCCAGCTGGGCAGTGTCCCCAGCCCGTGCTCCTTCTCCTGCCCCACTCCCTTCCTCACCGTGGGGGCATCAATCTGTTCCCCCCATAAACTTACCTGCAGAGAGCTGCTCCCCACTGCTGCCTGGCTGTGTGCCCAGCCATGTGCATGAGTGTGCATGTGCATGTGGCGTTCTCTGCATCCTGCTCCCCCCAGCCCCCAGCAGCAGGGGCTATGCGTAGGGGGTGCGCACGGGTGCACGTGCACTCCCTGAGTGTGGCAGTGCATCCCCTGCAAAAAGACGCCGCCAAAACTGTCGGCAGCACTTACGGACGGTCGCTACTCACCACCCCACCACTGACACCGCTGGTGGTATCTGCAAACGGTCCATGATCCCCACTGGCTACCGCTTCCGGCAACAGCTGCTGGTGGTTGCCAACCCTTGGTCTGCGATTGCCTCCCCGCCACCAGCAGCGGTGTCTGTGGGAGCTTCCCCGCTTACTGCCACTGTGCTCCGGCCACCACCACCATGTTCCCACTGCCACTGTGCCCCCTCAGCCGCCGGGGGCATGAGTCGTTCAGGCCCAGCAGCTTTGCAGGCTGGAACTCTGCCATTGCCTGTGCTTTTCCACAGCGAGCAGAAAACCCAGATACCTGCACGATACTGGGAAGCTGGGACAAATGCTGTCCTGGGGTCATTCAGCCTAAGACCGGGACTTGATGGTCACTTTTCGGGACTGTCCTGCTCAATTAGGGACAGGTGGTCACCCTACTCCCAAATGGATGTGTGAAGATGCACTTCCACCTTTTGTTCTTCCTGGGCAACATTTTTGCAGACATTTGCAGTCTTTCATGAGAAGCCCTGTCATTGGGGAGTGGCTCCTGTTTCTCTGTCTGTCCTCATAGCAGGTGGGAGTAGCATGTGGAGAAAATTGTGAAACAGAAAATCACAGACAGTTTATAAAATCAAATAGTGAGTCAACATTTGCACATAGAAAAATTCCTCCAATTGTGTGCTAATGCAAAATTCATGCTCACGGCATACCAGTGCAGTGGGGTCATAACTCATTAATTTCAGTGGCATTGGTAGGCCTAGACCAGTGGTTCTCAACCTGTTTTGACTTAAGGCCTACCTCAGGAAATACCAGCTGTTAATGTTCGCTTGCTTTTTCACTATGGGAAAATACCAGACCAATCCTTCTGTTACAAAGAACTGAGAAAAATCAGAACAGATCAGAAATGTTTAGGACAATATAGATCCCTATTTGAAACCTCTAAGTTTATCTTTTAAATCATGTGTTGGTGTTCATACACATAGCAGTTCTAATATTGAGCAAAAACCTGCATCACCCTTCAAAGGATCTCTTGGCACCTGGCCTGAGAATCGCTGGCCTAGAGAGTCAGAAGTCAATCTCGTCGCAGCACAGCCCTTCCAGGCTCCAGGTTCTGGGGACAGAGCCCTGGGCCTGCTCAGCCCCGCTCAGAATAGCTTTAACCTTTCATTAAAGATACAGGAGGAGAAGAGAGAAGCCAGGAAAAGCATGAAAGTGTTTGAAAAGCAGAGTATTAAGCAAGGCTTTCATGTTAAGGGTATCTCTCATTCCCTTCCCTTTTATCTGTAGAGATTTGAATAAGAACAAACCCCTGTGTGACAGTCCTTTCCATTGCATTGGAAATGGCAACTGTCCTTCTCTCCGGAAAAAAGGGGAAGGTAGCTGAATGGACTGGAGCTATTGTTCTGGCTGATATTAAACTCCTGTCTTGCTTTTCCTCAGATAAAACAATCACCTTCAAAAGAGGAGAGAAGAGAACAGCAAAGATTAAAACTGAAGTATCTCTTTCTGCCCTTGACTGCTGAACAAGGCAGTCATATGGTCTTATCACTCTGAGTCCAGGCAAACTTCTACCAGTGTTGGGCTCTTCAAGTCACTGCTTTTATTTTCCTTTCTAGTCTTTAGCTCACAAGAATGCTGCAAAAGAAACAATCTAAGTCCCTAAGCAAGACTGCTCTGTAACAGAGGGCAAAACGAGAGAGAAAAGAAAATAGAGAAATAAGATTGAGGAAGAAAAGGGCACACAAGGAAGAGAACCAGAGTCTCCCATTCCACATGGGCTTCAGGATTCCTCTGAAGGTGCTGGAGATGGGGATGTCATCTAGGTCTCTCTCTCTCTGGTTTAGTATAATCAGGATCAGAAGGCCCAGGAGAGTGAAAATGCATGACTTGGTCCCCAAACATGACTGGGGTGGTAGACAGCAAAGCCCACTCCTTTATGCCCCCTGGAGTCTGTGACAAATTGCCTCACCGAAGTAGCAAACACTGCAAAAGCCTAGTTTCTGATTTCCAGTCTCACATTCTTTCTATTCACAAAACACCATCTTAACAGAGCCCCTGGGTGATATTAAGAGTCCTGTTATGTTCACACCAATGTGGTCGTTCTGTCTTTAACTTTTGCTGACTTTTCTAAACAATGTCGATGTAACAGCGGTCAGCTGGACATTTGTTACCTGAGACAGCACAGGCTCCTGCACAGAAAGGAGCACTGGTTTTGCAAGTCACACTCGCCAGGAATGAGGGCTTTGCACATTGCAGGCTATTAGTGCCAGGATTCAACTCCAAGCCTGTGAGTACAAGAAGAGAGTACAGTTGCCAGAACCTCACTCCCAGCCTGCGACTTGAATAAAACTCCTAAGCAGTAGGACCCAAGTTCACACTCACAAGCAACAAGGTCAGTGAGAATCCAGACACAAGAGAGTGCTAATGCCCTGATTCATACTTAACCATGGAGGGCTGCTCTACTCAAGTTGACAATGGTGGTAAACTAATGGGCCTTGCTTTGGGAAAGAAGGTTATGTCCCTTGCTGGGATAGACTCCATACCCCAGGGGATTCACCCATGTTCTGGATTCCAAGTGTTGTCAAGGCCCCTGTCTCCCTTCCACTGCCTCCTAGCAGCTGTGTCCTCATACACAGTCACTCCTGCCATGCCTGGAGATGACATTTTCACAAATTCCCAGCTTTAATGAGCCAGGCATTCACCACTTGGTGCCTGTCTCCGCTGGCTGATAATATCCATCTCCCCACCTCCTCCTGATTGACAGCCTCCCTCCCCCCTACAGAGTGAGAGTGACAAACTAATTTAATTTTTTGCTAATTTCTCAGGCTCTGCTGATGGTGTTGACATGTTCCAGGCTGTATTTTGACATTTTCTAATGACATTTTGACTATAATTATATTGGGGGGGGGAAAGGGAAAATGAAACATCTGGCATTCTTTCGCATCTGAGAGTATCTGAGCTGATTTGGTGTCAGGGAGGTTTTCAGGGGGATCTGTATTTAACTCTTTCAATATTCACAAAGAATAGAAGTCCTCCCTGCCTAAGAAGGTGAAAATGTGATTGGATCACTCCCTAGGGTGGCCTGGCTGAGCACAGGAAGGGGATCAAAGGCACCAGGGACTTGGGACTGCAGTAGGTGTGCCTCTGAAATGGTGTTTCTCCAGAGAATGGCATGGGGATAATGGAAAGGAAAGGGAGGATATAGTTGAAGGGCTTTCCAGATACAGAATAATTTCTTCACAGGGAAGGTGAGTTTCTCAATGGAAAGTGAGGGCTGGCAATGGAGGAAGGGCCACATACAGAGACATGCATGCCCCACAACACTTGCATTTGTTTGCACCCACTCCTTTGCTTTGCATTCTGCGTTTCCCTCAGCCACAATTCCTATTTGCTTTTCCTTGTCTGTTGTGTTTGTGTCTCCAGTAATGCAAGAGAAGGTTTTCATTTAGACAAACCTTCTGCATTGATATTCAAACCTCCATTTGCTGAGAACGTTGCTGCCTGACCAAGGGTTTTTAAACGCCCCTTAGCCCCGGTGACAGGCTCCCTGCCATACTAGTGCCTCTGCTTTGCCTTGAGTCACTGCACAGTGCAGTAACCAGACTGTCTTCCTTTCCACTGTGCTTCTAGAATACATCAGACCTGGAAGGAAGTGGAGACGGGGTCCAGAGCAGCATCAATGCCCTGCCAGACATTTCCCTGGTAAGATACCCTGCCTTTCCCCACGCCTCTGCAAGTGCTGCCCCCACTGGACATAGCTGCTGAAAGCTGACTGAAGGCATCACATTTGGTCTCCATATGTTTCTAATTATTTCCCATGCCACGATTTGTGGCACTTACCGGAACAGGGCTGGGGCTAGCGAATAACGTAGTACAACTTCAAGAAAGGACTCAGCCTGTGTGTATAAGTGTTTTATTCAAGTGTATAATTGCACCAACTGCTACCAGTAACTAGAGTGAAAACAACCCAGATCCATCCTCTAATGGTCTTGGTGCTCTAGGGCAGTGGTTCTCAACCTTTTTTGTACCAAGACCCATTTGTAAACATCAGTGTTCAGTCGTGACCCAGTGCTCCTCACTCCTGACCCGCTGCCCCCCGCCCCCAGGGCCCAGCCCCCCAGTGTGTGGGGAGGGGTGGGTGTTTGGGGCAAGGGAGCCCGAAGCAGCCCCTCACAGGCTGAAACTCTGCCAGCCTGCAAGGGAAAATCCACGGCTTCCCACATTTTTCTCCTTTAAAGAAGCATCCATGTTTAAAGTTTCTTGACCCATTTTTAAAATTTGTTTGTGACCCTTTCGTATATTCTTGCAACCCACTTTTGAGTCACGACCCACGAGTTGAGAAGCACTGCTCTAGAGCATGGTCTAGTTGCTTTTTAATTCAGGAAGTAACTTCTAGCCCAGTTGCCCACAGTCTGGGTGAAGCACTGGGCACTGTGAGCTGCAAAGTACCACAGGCCAATCTGTAGGGTCCCTATGCTGTGATGGGCTTTAAAGGCTGTGCTGTTCTGGTTTCTGGCAGGACGATGTTTCGTCTTTCCCTGAGGAACCACCCAACTTCAAGCCCCCGCCCCCACCAGTTCCTCAAGCACTGGATTCTTCTACAGCCCAGCAAAGAAACGCAGCAAAAGAGAAACTCAAGCGGCCTTCCTCTGATTCTTCTCAGTCAGGCCTCTTCTTTATGGCCCCCCGAAACCCAACTCCTCCTCCCAGCCACTCCGAAAAGGACACAGCCAGCTTGGCTTCCACTGTGGCCACTTCATCAACCGAGGATTCGTCCCTGAGCGCCATCTATGCCACCATTTCTTCTGCCACTGTCAGCTCCAGGAGGCAAATGGACACCCGTTTGTCCTTGGTCAACCAGCACCCAATAGGCCCTTTCCCTAGAGTTCAGTCTCCAGCCAGGTTGAAGAGCCCGTCTCCCAAAAGCCACCCTGCCAATAGCACTTCCCCTCCTCCTCCACCATCGCACCCAGCCCCTCCTCCTCCAGACAAGGGCAGCCCACAGTCTGCCGCCAACCAGCACTTCATCATGGTGGAGGTGCATCGACCCAACAGCGAGCCAGATGTGAATGAAGTGAGATCCCTGCCCCAAGCCAGAGGTGGGTGCCTTCTCCTTGTGAACTGAGTGCCATGGGGCACAGTCGGGTCATTAACGGTGACAGGGCTTTGGCACTCTGTAAATTTGGGCAATGGCAATGAAGCTTGGCAGTTCCAGTCTTGTGTCCAGCCCCACGCTAGACTGTTTCCCTTGAACCTCCCACCAGTTGGGCGAGTGACCTGCAGGCATCTCAGAGTGGGAGCTGGTACCAATATCTTTACTTTGAAAGCCTGAGGGCCTGATGGGAAGGCCTAGAGCTATTTCTCCACCTTATTCAGGCAGCTGGATCAGGGGTGTTGAATTTCTGGGCTGTAAGAAATGGAGATCCTTTGTTTTCCCCTCAAACATGAGAGAGTTAGAAGGGAAGAAAAGGTTGCAATTAGTTGTGGAGGGAGGGGTTTGAAGGACAAGTCTTATATCTGCAGACACATCCCTGCTCATGGACTTAGTTAATTAAATTAAGCCTCAGAAAAGGGATGAGTTTGGGCAGCATCCAGTGTGCACAGGGGTAGACACAGGAGTGCCAGCTCTTGGAGTCGCTCTAATTAAAGTGCTGCAGTGTCTCTTGTATCAGTGTCCCCCTGCTTCAAAATGGTGGCGGGGGTGCATGAACAAAAGCTCATTTGATTAATCGAGTCTTGCCTGACACGCTGTTGGAGTAGCCTCACAGCACGTCTGCAGGCAGCCCTGGAGGCTTGTGATTACGTGCTGGCTTCAGGGTGATTTAAAGTGAATGCCTGGCTTTTTCCAGTGTTATGGAGACAAGATTGAAAGTATGAAACCGAAAGGGTCAGAAACCCAGAAGCAAGTTAAACCAGCCAAAGGGTTTGTTTCACTCTCCTGATTCTGAAGCCCGTCTCCTGATGTCTGGGAGTCCCTGGCTGCTGTTGCTTTGAAGGCTCAGCATGCAGAGTGCTCTCACAGCAGGGTGTGCGTCCAACCCTCACTGCAATAACCTATCTGCCTGCATTCAGCTGAGTCTTTAAAGCCTCTTCTAGACAATTTTTTTTGACCTTTAGTTAAAGACCTAGCTCTGTTAGGCAGTTGATTACAACCGGTCCCTTGTGGGGGGGTTTCCTGAGTTAGTTAATAAAATCTGTTTCTGATGGAATTTTAAAGGAAGCAGGAAATAACCCTGGGCCTGTTTCAGCTGATGGCAGCTGAGGGAGAGGCTTGTTTGGTACAAGGTACATTTGGAGGCCAGATTTAACGGGGTAAGGATGAGGGGGGGCAGGATGAGGGAGAGGAAGAGAAAAGGAAGGAAACAAAGGTAAATAAAAGAGGTGATGCCGTTATACATATCTTGGCATACATAGGCTCATGTGGATCAACGCTGGGCTGCATTCAACTGATTCCTCCTCAGATCTCCCCTTATCTGCCCTGGGGGGCTGCAGTGTCCCCAGGATGCAGTCTGTGCCTGGACACGAGTCCAGTCCTGACGATCTCTGTCACTTGTGACATTGGAAACCCTGGTTCTTTCGGGCTGATTTGCACTGTAATTGTCCACTTCATCCCAGAGCTGTGTAAAGTGGTTTTAATGTGAATGGGAATCAGCCTAAAACTTGTCCTAGACTTCACCCAGCAGCGGTTTACTGAGATGAAGTGAAGGGAAATGCCCGGTTGGTTTCCTGCGTCCATCTGCAACCGTCTCCAGGCAGAGCCCCTGTGACTACCCCAAGTGTCCTTTGGGCACAAGGCTCTGCAAAGCAGCCCAATGCAGGGAGTTGCTGCCCTCATGCGGCACAATCGTCACATTGCAGCTGCCAAATTTGCCACTGGCTGAGTGATAAGCGATTTGCTTTTCCTGTTCTGTTTGTTTCTGTGTAGCATCCCATACCTGAGCAGCTGCAGGCATTTCTAAAAGGCTTTATGGCCACATTCAGATGCAGATAAATACCTTTCCAATCCCAAGTGAAACCTCCTGGCCCATTACATGTGTTCTGATTATTATTAGATCAGATTATTAGGTCAGGGCCCCACTATGTGGGCATTGTACATGTACACAGTAGTAAGAGGTCACAGTGTGGTAGGCAAGACAGACAAGGGGTGGAAAGGAAAAGGAAGAAGAGGTTGAGTGACATACCCAAAGTCACAGAGCAGATCAGTGGCACTGTCTTACTCAGAGTCCAGCTCTCCAAGTGCTTTAGCCTCCAGCCAGTGCTGCCTCTAGCTTGCCTGGCATCCAGGACAGCTTGGTTGAGAAGGACCTGGTTTGTCATTTCTGAGCCCCCCATTCAAGCCCAATGGCAGCTCTAACCGGAGTTACACATGGCTGCGTATGTGGCAAAAGGTCCCTCCAGTAGCTCTCTGTTTGATGGGGCTTTTGGGATGATGCAGATATGGCCCTGTTCCCTGCACAAACCAGTATCCATGCACTCTCTCCAAGTTCCTTGAGCTCCCTGAACTTCACAAATGAAGTTTATGGACTTCTGGCATATCCTGGAAAGATCTCTCTTGAGAAAGAAGAGATTTCCCCACAGAAACCCTCCCCAGATTCCATAGTGGGTCCTTTGCCTGATGAGACTTTGGGATATGGTAGATCCTATAAAGATGCCCACGCAAGGTGGACAAGAGCCATGAAGCTGACAGTCACTTACCTCAGTATCTTGGTATGTAATTGCATGAAGAAGCACCCAGGGCACCTCACTGGGATGTCCGTGGAGTCCTCTTCTTTATAGTCTGCCTTCAATGAATGCTCTTGAAAATGCTTGGAGCTGTTTCTCTGAGGCGGAGTTACCCCCTGCGTAAAGATGTGAATGGACTAGCATGGATGGACTCCTGGATGGAGACTCTCCAGAATAGGTGACAGCAGTGCTAGGACTGTTTAGATGTGATCAGTTCTTTGACTGCTCAGACAGACAGGATTGCAGGTTCCCAGAGAAGTCAGACTATAAGCAGAGGTGGCATGTCCTTAACAGTCTGCAGGGATGGGCTAAGGGCTTCACTCATCCCCTGCCGCATAAGTCATAACTATTTTGATGGTGTATGCAACACCTAGCCCTCTGCAAGGACTGAATGTCCCCCAGCCCATCCAGACAGGGCTTTCTCCCTGAGCAGTGCAATGCTGCACACAGCGTACCAGCTATTCCAACCCAAGGTATTTGTACTGCAGTCATGTGTACTGGAGGGACATGGTTCCCCAGTGCAATGCTAAGGGGACATCAATGGTAGCCCAGAGACTGTGAGGCCTCTGTTGAGCCCTGGCACTGCAGGGAAGATGAAGTGGGTGTGGGCATTTGAAACCACTGATTTATACCTAGTGAGGATTTATACCCAAAGGGTTAGTCATTTGTTTGTTGTTTGTTGATAATAGCCATGCAAATATATGCAAATTATGGCTCTGAATCAGTTTGCTTGACATGCTGGGCAAGCTGGGTAACTGCTCGGTGCACTGCCAGATGGAGGGTGAGCAATGTAAGCACAGCTCAGCAAACCAGAGGCCACTGTTTCTCACCCATGGTTCCAGCCCTGACAATATGAAACTCCCTCCACTTTGCTTTGCTTCCCAGAAAGTGCCAAAGGAGAGTCTGAATCTGTCCCGCCTCCCTCCGAGCTTCACTGAGGTACAGACTGAAAAGAAGCCATGAGGCAGCCCCGTCTGTGCTCCAGGAGACAGCAAAGCAAACCCTCTGGTTATGCCTGAATGAGCTTTCAAAACTGGATCAGTGCTGTAGATGGGCCTCAAAAGAAAACCTGGATCTATCCCCTGCCCCCACCCAGGGTCAGATCCAGATCCAGTTCTGGCCCTAAATAGGGCCAAATTTTCACAGGTGCTCAGCACCCAACGTGCATGGTGCTTATAACCTGAGCCTCATCATGGACATCTGGCTCTTCTGAAAACTTGGCCTGTCAACCCAGCTTCTCAGAAGTATTTTGGTGCCTGGCTTCCTCTGGCTCCAAAGGAAGCTACAACCCCAAAAGCCCTTGAAGATCTGGGCCCTGGTTCAGTTAGTCCCTATGCTCAACCCAAACTGGGCCGCCCGTGTCTGCACTTGCTCCTGAGCGTATTCACAGCCTAGGACACCTCTCTAAGGCAGACCTAGAAGCTGGATGGGGGTTGCGGTTTGTTAGGGTTCATCCCAACTGCAGAGTCTTCCCACAAGTCCTCTCAGATGCCCAGAAACAAGGATTCACTTCCCTCCCTAGCTGTGCAGGCTAGGGAAGAGTCATGCAGCATCAGTGCTGCTTTGCAGACCCCTGGAGACCTCTGCTTTCCATACAAGAGGCTCTCTGGATATGAGCCCACCACTTACCCTCTCCCTCCAGCTAACAGCCCCTGTCCTGCTGTCCCCCCAGCCTCCACACTCTCCCAGCTGTCAGACAGTGGACAGACACTCAGTGAGGACAGCGGCGTGGATATTGGTGAGGTCGAGGCCAGTGGCAAGGACAGGGGAAGGCAGCAGGTCTCTGTGAAAAGCCGAAGCCCCAAGGAGGCACCAAGGAGCGATGGGACAGCAGAAGGGACCTCTAAACCGGTAAGAGTGGGGAGGCCCAGATACCCAGCAGGGCTCTCCCAGGCAGGGGGATTTACCCCAACCTAGTGCTGAGGAGAGGGGCAGGCTGCATGGAATGGAGCCATGTGCCACAGCTACAGGGGCTGGCACCCTCCCAGCTCTTGGGTTGCAGATGAAGGGGCTGGTGCAATGCCAGGCTCAGCCAAAAGAGGGCATGAGTGGTCCTTCCTGCCTAAAGCAACCTGGGACATGGTGGGGTTGGTGGCCATGGGATGTTCTCCACCCAGCAGAGATGCACAGAGCACTGCGGGCCTGCAGAACATCCTCCTTCTCTGCCCATTGGGGAGGGAACATCAGACTGACAAAGCAGGGCTGAGAATACCTGATCTCTGCAGCTGGGAGTCTCCACAGGGCTGGAGGGCTTTGTTGGCCAGGCAGAGAGCAAGCGCACTGCTTCCTAGCCAAGACAACACGCACTCTAGCTGGGCTGGGCCAGGCAGGCTGGAGAAGGCAGATGGAGGCATGGCTGAGCTCCTTCTGCCATTACAAGCTGCCATGTACAGGCACAGCTCTCAGCCAGGAAAGGGTTAACGTGCATGGGTTAGGGTCCCTTGCACTGATGAGGGTCCTGGCTGGGTGGGAGCTGGGCTTGGTGCTGGGCAAGGAGGAAAGGGGTCCAGCCCTGATCAGTCACATTGGCATCTCCCCTGCTCCAGCCTGGCCTCCGTGAGCCCACATCATGTCTGATTCGAGTGGCAAAGAGCGCGCCCACCTTGGGGATCGCCATCGAGGGTGGAGCCAACACCCGGCAACCTCTGCCTCGGATAGTCACCATACAGGTAGGGCAAACCAAGAGCAGGGATAACTTGGTGAGGACACCACCCCCATCCAAGCTCTGAGAGGTTTCATAGGATGCAGAGCTGGGCTCTTCTAACAGGGATGCAACCAGAACCCACCCTCTCTGCCATCTCTGAGCAGCTGACTGGCTTACAGCCCTCCCAGCCAGGCCCATCATCATGGGGATTCATGTCACCCATGCCTGGGTGGGGGGAGTGATGGGGGCTGTAACTAGCAGGGACATTGCCACCCTGCCCCCAAATGAAACGATAGGTTTGCAAACAGGGGTGTGAGTAATAGTATCCGCCATAGACAACTGGCATTTGGAGGATGACTTTGCACCAGAGCCGGGGAATGCCAGAACTTTGGCCTATCTCTGTCTGGTGTTTGACTCAGGAGGGGAGTGGGACTGAGACCATGTGAACAACCATTCGCTGCAATTTAAAAAGTAATCACAGCTGAGAATTCAGGTGGACATGGGCTGAGCCCAGATGAGCCGCTGAATGCAGATGGCAGCAATGTCCCATGTGCATGAACCCCTGCTGGCATAAGGCCATTTGACCAGCTCTGTTGTCCTCACTTGCACGTATTACAGTAATGCCTGAAGAGCCCAGCTGAGATTAGAGGTCTGTTGTGCCAAGAGCTAGACATAGTGAGAGAGAGCCTGGGCCTCAAAAACCTTGGTCTAAGAAGCCAAGCCAGGCAGAGCAGGGGAACCCTCTGTCCTAAAATGTTCTAGGCAAAGGTGGCTGCATTTCAGTTCTGGGCTTAGGGGACTCATGAAGCATGGCGGGGGGGGGAAGTGGGAGGGAAACACGTGCTCCAATATATGAGATCTTCCTTTTCTCTGACTCGCTGCAGCGAGGAGGCTCTGCCCATAACTGTGGGAAGCTGAAGGTGGGTCACGTGATCCTGGAGGTAAATGGCACGACACTGCATGGGAAGGAGCACCGAGAAGCTGCCCGCATCATTGCTGAGGCCTTTAAGACGAAGGAAAAGGACCACATTGACTTCCTGGTCACAGAGTTCAACATGGCACTTTAAGGGGGTCCGGCGCCCCCTCCCCCCAAGCTGACCAGGCAGCAGCATGAGGGAGCCAAGCGGAGAATTGGGGTCTTGGGGGCACAGACAGGCATGTTAGTACGTGTGCCCACATGCAACAGCACAGCACCAGACTCCCCCCCAGAGCCGCACCGCAGCCCCAACCCCCCCATCCCCACCGCCAGCACACGCATCCCTTGGGCCAAGAGCAGGGGTGCTCAGCCCAGAACGCACTGGGCCTGACACTGATGGAGATGGCCTTTAGACCAACACGGCAGTGAGAGGAGGAACGGGCGGGAAGGCAGAGAGGCCAGCTCCGGGCCTCCAGGCCTCTGGTCCCTCCGGGCATTGAGCCTCGTTGGCTCAGTTTCCCAGTTTAAGCCATATTCCAGATGTCCTCTCCCTGCCCGTCCTCCCCGGGGACAGGCAGTGGGGGGTATCCACACCCTAAGAGCTCACCCACCTTCGGCTGTCCCAGCAGCTCTGTGAGTGCATCCATCCCCTCTTTTATTCCCCCATAGAGCTGCCTTCCCTTTGCACACAGCAAATCCCCACCTGGTAGACTGGATACAGGTTGAAGGGGGAAGGGCCTTTTTTTTGCCATGCTCCCTTCCCAGCCCCTCAGCTGGGTGACCTGCAGAAGTCTTAGTGCCACACATGCTGTGCAGGGAATTCCCTGGCATCACAGCGGGGGAATGTCTTTGTGGATCACTTGGGTTGTTCACTCATGGGTCTGTCCTCTGTGGCTGGGTGGCAGGGACATGGTAGGAGCCCCGTCAAGGTGCTGAGCCCTATGCCCCACCGTGTACAGACAGTAACAGATGCCTTGTAAATTGCTGGCGACATCATTGTATTTATATATATATAAAGAGCTTGTGCTTTTAATTTTTCAATAAATCAAACAGGTTAGAAAATACCCACAAGCTCTCTGCTATCTCTCCTGATCGTGGATGCAGGGGTGAGGGGAACAACACTATGAGCTGGCATCATTGCTCTGGACGTTCAACCAATCTAAGTGTTTTCTTAGATTATCACAAATCAGGTAACAGGTGACTTCATCGAAGCCTGTAAGGACCTATGGAGGGAGCAGAAATCAGGTAACAGATGGTGATTCACTTGGACAGAGACAGAACGAGAGCAGCTGGCGAGGAGCAAACGCTGGATGCATTCAGACACAAAATGTGGCTCTAACGCTTAAGCGTGAGAGCGACTAACTACTGGAGGAGCAGCCCAGCATTATGGAAGATTCATCATTGCTGGCCACGTTAATGCTTTCCTTAACTGCCCTGCTCTAGGTTGAATGGGAAGCTGTTCAGGGAGTGCCTGTGGCCTGTGCTACACAGTAGTTTAGGCTTGAGGAGCACGCTGCTCCCTTCTGGCTTTAGAACCAGGAAATGGGAGACTCCTCCCTAGCTTGCTTCTGTGGCCATATGGTTGAAGGCATGCAAAACTCAGGGGCATCCAAACCCCAAGCCACAGGGCTTGGGCCTGCATGTAGGATGTCCTCCAAATGATTTGGAAGAATCTGAAGCCCCAGGTTGGGGTGGAGGATGTTTGCCAGTAGTAGGGCCACATTTGGTTCTTGAATGACTCACAGATTTGGAATTGATTTTGCTGATTTGGCTTGGAACACAAAAAAATTTCCTTAAAAATTAAAAATAACCCCCCGGACTCTAATAGCAATTCAGGACTTGGAATCTGTGCCACAACACCCCATCCTCACCGCAGCATCACCTGTCAAGTAACTTGGAGGAGGCAGCCCATGGGAAGACCATGTAGAAAACCTGACCTGATGTTTGCATACACCCACCCCCAGCATTTCCTCTGTGTGTGTGTGTGTGTGTGTGTGTGTGTGTGTGTGTGTGTGTGTGTGTGTGTGTGTGTGTGTGTGTGTGCATACATACAAAACATGCAATGTATATCACATTCAGTGCATGTGTCTGGGCAGGGGCATATGCACAGGTCACATGAAGCCACATATGTATAGCATGTGTATGCAGGTGGAGCACATATGCTGCATGCAGTGTGTGTGTGCAGGGTGTGTACACTTCCCCAAGCATTGATCACAGGGTCATGCACACTGCACATGGCACTCTGCACATAGCACTCTGTGTTGTAGCCCTGTGCAGATACCAATGTCCTTTGCTGTGCCTGACTGATGATGTGTACACAGAAGTGTAGCAGGCTTATGACCTGTTTCTGTTCAGCTCCTGAGACCCTGTAAGGCCTACTTGGAAATGGGTTAGTTCCTCCCCACAAGAGAACAATGGTGCTCTCTTTTCCCAGGCCAGCAGCCCAGGCTGAAACCTAATTTCTGCTCCTAGGGACAAGACAGGGGCTAGTAATTTGAAGCTGGGGATTGCCCATCGTGAAGTGTTGGGTCAGTGCTAGTCACAGCTAGCCTGTGGGGACACGATGATGATAGGGCAGCCTTGTATGAACCTGGGTTGGCTCAGGGACTGTGCATCTGCACTGAGGCTCTCAGACGACAGCGGGTGACTGCTCTCTGTATCAGGCTGTTACCAGGCCTGGGTATAGACAAACACTCACATGCCACTCGGCTACCACTGCCCTGCCCCCAGGGCACCACCCATCCAGGGGTAGACTGAAATTCCAGTGGGATCTGGGCCACTCAGGCTCCTTGGGAAGAAATCTCAAGCCTTCAGGGAACCAAGACATTCCCATCCTGGGCCTGCCAAAAGTTGGCCTCTTCCTTGGTTTCCTCGCCTCCATGCACTGCCCTTAGGCCCCTCCTCAGCCATATCCTCCCCTTCAGGCAGGGCAGGTGTGCTGTGGGGAGAGAGGAGATCATCAAACTCTTGGGCCTTGCAGACTGTTTGAGGGGGAGCAAAGGAAGGGAATGTACCTGGCTTCGCTGGGAGTCCCACATTGGCTTGAATAGGTCTTGAGACATCATTGGCCATGTTAGTCTGAAACCTATGTGTGCCATGGTCATTGCCCAACACTATCCCCATTCCTTTTCTAGCTTTGTATTCAATTCTCTCTCCTTTCTATACATGAGTCTGTGCACATCCTTTCACAGCCTCGGACGAGGTAAGCTCCCAGCTTACAAAGCCTGGGCTATATACATATAGATATACAGAGCCCAACACAAATAGTATATATAATTAGTCTATAATGTGCAAATCTACTTTGCCTTCTGCTTAAGTAGTCCCTCCTGAGTCTGAATCTCACAGATCTTGAGAAGAGAAGTGGGAAGTTGGGCCTTCTTGTACACCCCAGAAATGGTACATTCTCTGAGAAAACCCAGAAAGAGAGCACCAGTGCCCCTGTTGAGGGCAGAGAAAAGGCACTTGATTTACCCAGGAGGAAACAGGTTGCTACTTTAGGAAGAGCTATGAATGAAGCTGCTAGGAAGGCACAAAGATCACAGCACCCTCAGAGATGGCAGCAGCTGCATATCACCTGGCCCAGGAATCAGAGCCAATCTGCACAAGCGTTTTGCATCATCTAGCTGTTTGGGGATCAGTGATGACCTGTTCTCAGACCAGTGCCCATATCTCCAGAACTATCCTCAGACAGGCAAACATGGTCCCTTGGGTGATGCTCTTAGCAAAGTGGCCAAGGATTAGTTGTGCAGGAGATTGCTTTTCTCCTTATTGGGTCAACAGAGATGCTTCCCTTCAGGCTGTGCCCACATGGGGGAAACTTGCCTTGGTACTGCCCATCCTAGACCCATTGCTCAGACTCCAGGGCAATTAGTACAAGGGGGAACCAAATTGAGATTTAAAAACATGAGTTCACGTCACAGCCAGCTGCACAGATTCAGAGCCAGGTGATGCAGAGCCTGGAGGCCACAGCCAGAATTGCTGCCAGCCTGGAGACTGAAGCCCCTCTGAGCCGATACAACCTGGCAGTGGTAGCACGAGCAGTTCCAGCCTTGCCCTGCTGATGGGCCACCATCTTGAGCAGAAGGGGTGAAATGGGAGTCCAGACTCCCCATCCACAACACCTCAGCCCTGGCTCAGGCAGGGACTCCAGAAACCTGTGACAACAGGGCAAAACACTAGCTTCCAGCAACAGCCTTAGCAGCCACAGGGACAGGCAGCACCTGCTATGGCCCCAAGATTCCTGTACTCTCCAACCTGGAGGTACTCAAGAGCATGCTTTAAAATGCCCCCAGCCCATGTGGGGCTGCCAGAGCATCAGTCCCTAACTCGTTCACTGGGTAGAGCAGTTCATTGCTCGTGACACATCCAGGCAGCTTCTTTTTCTCTACAGCGGCTTTCAGATTCGGGTTCTTACTGCAGGCAGGTATGAAGGGGGCCTTCCAAAGTAGGATCTGCTGTGCCCTGTCTGCTTCTCCCACCCTGCTGATCTGCAAAGTCCTGTATTCTCTGCCTCCCTGTTGATGTGCCTGGCTGGGAACAGTGATTAGCACGCAATGTTCCCATTCATTGCTTGGCACAATGCACCCTCTACCGGCTGGAACGTGCAATCCCAATTCATGGCTCATTTCCCCTGGCAGGGAGGCATCACCAGGTATGTAGACACTTTTGTTTTGGAAACCAGGGGTATAGTCAGTCACACATTGTGCTCCTAGCTGTGTTTTCCCTCCAGTAGCTAGGCTCTGGAGCAGGGTTGCTGTGTATAAGCAGTCCAGACCTGCTTGGAGCTGCCCTTGATGTACACTGCAAAGTGTGCTTCCTACACAAGTGATTAATTCACCACTTCCTACATCAAGGGGCCTTAAACTTTCCCATAGTGTGGGCCACTCCTTAACAGAGAAACAGTCTCATGATCACCTCCCCTGATGGTGCAGACAAAGCTGCCTCCTGTTCATGATCCCTCAGCAGCCCCATGGCAACCACAACCTCTGCCCACATGAAGAAGGGATACTCCAAAGAGAGGGATTCCTTTTGGCTTGGTGCTAATGTGGTAATTGGCACTCCTAAAAGCTGCTAGAAATGAGGTTTGCCATGCCCAGCAAGTATCCCCTGGAGAACTTAAAACAAAAATCTTTATCAAGGTCAAATTAGTTCCCAATTCAATTGGGAAAAGCTCAATAGTCAACTTCCAAAATTCAACTGAGCAGAACACAATTGTCAAGTCTGTGGGTCTCTACTCCCTGGGAAGTATCCTCCCTCCCAGAGCCATCAGTCTGGGGCATTGGATACTCCACAAATCCAAACAGACATCCTACGTGCAAGCCTCAGGTCAGGAGGTGTTG